TGCGCCTGTGAGTAATCCCCGCCTCGTCTAACAGCTTCTTGAACTCCCCCTGGAACTCTGTCCCCTGGTCGGTGAGCACCTCTGCACATGCTCCAAATCTGCATACCACCTGCTCTTTGAATGCTGCTGCCACATGCCTCGAGCTCTTGCTGGGTATAGCCCGCACTTCCAGCCACTTACTTACGTGCTCCACCATCAGCACTATGTACTGCTTTCCTTCCCGGCTCAGCGGCAGCTCCCCGGCTAGATCTAGGGACCATCTAAATCCCAGGCCTCGGATGGGCAAGGACTGCAGCTCGGCCCTAGCTTGGCTGAGGTTGGCCCGGCTTCGTTGGCATGCCTCGCAGCCCTCCACCCACTTCTGCACCTGTCTGCGCATCCCCTCCCACCACCACCCCGTCTTCAGTAACTGCACTGTCCTTTCATGCCCGAAATGTCCCAGCTTTATGTGCACCTCCTTGATCACAGCTTCCCTCTCGGCCGGGGCTGGCACCAACTTCCACCCCTCCTCCGTCTGTATCTGCAGCTGCTGCTGGTACCACCTATAGTGGTGCCCCCTTGCTCTTACCCTCTCTGGCATTGCTTCATCCTCCCCTGTCTCCCCCTTTACCCACCGCATGGCCTGTGCATCCTCCCAGATATCTGCTGGCCCCTTGCTTCCCCTTCCCCCGTTCAGCTCCACCTGTCTGGCCAGCAGAGTCAGTGCCACTGTAGGTTCCAGTGGTGGGGGGTTCCTGGAGAGCCCGTCCACGTGCTGTAGGGTCTTCCCCGGCCTGTGTCTGATCTGAAAGTCATATTCCTGCAGCTTCATTGCCCACCGTGCGTTCCTGCCCGTCAACCCCGGTGTCGTCATCAGCCATGTCAAGGGCTGGTGATCCGTTACCAAGGTGAATTCCCGGCCCTGCAAGTACACCCTGAAGTGCCCCACAGCCCACACTGCTGCTAGCCCCTCTCCGATGTAGGAACTGTACTGCGCCTCTGCCGAATTGCAGCTTCTACTCGCGTAAGCCACCACCTTCTCCTCTCCCTGCACCTCTTGACAAAGGATCCCCCCCATCCCTTGGCTGCTCCAGTCGGTGTAGAGGGTGAAGGGCTGGTCCGCGGCTGGCAGTTGCAGTACGGTGGCGGTCTTCACTGCTGTCATCAAGTCCTGCAGCGCCCCCTTCTGTGCTTCCCCCCACTCCCAGGCCCTATCCTCCCTTAGTAGCCCATTCAACGCTGCTGCTCGCTTGCTGAAGTTGGGTACGAACCGCCGGTAATAGCTCAGGAAGCCCAGCACTGCCCTTAGCCCGGACTTGTCCTTGGGCTCCCGCAGCCTGTCCAAGACCTCCACCTTCGCCTGCTGGATCCCAATCTGCCCCCCTTTCACCTCATATCCCAGGTACTGCACCGTCTGCTCCCCCCACCTGCACTTCTTGGGGTGGCATGTCAGCCCTGCTGCCTCTAGCGCCGCCAGCGTCTTAGCCACATCCTGCAGGTGCTGCTGCTCAGTGGTGCTGAAGATCACCACATCATCTATGTAGCAGGCCGCGCATTCCACATCTCGCAGCACCGCATCCATAACCCTCTGGAACACGGCTGACGCATTCCTCAATCCAAATGGCATGTACAGCCACTCGTACAGCCCGTCTGGCCCGTGGAACGCTGTCTTCTTTATGTCCTCCTCTCTGATTCTGATCTGATTGAACCCCTGCCGCAGGTCCAGCGTAGTGAAGAAGACCCCCTCAGCTAACTTGTCGAATATTTCTTCCGCCATCGGCATCGGGTACCTGTCTGCTATGGTGATTTTGTTGAGCGCCCTGTAGTCGCCACACATCCTCCTGCTTAGTACCTCCCCTGTCAGGTCCTTCCTCGCAGCCACTACCGTCGGTGTGGCGTACTCAGATTCGGAGCGCCTAATCAGTCCTGCTTCCAGCAGCTCCTTAATCTTCTCTTTGCATATTTCCTCATCCCCGGGCGGCATTTTCCTCCTGCGGTGAAACACCGGCTCCGTGCTATTCAATTTCAGCTCCATCTCCTTCACCTTGCACCTCCCCAACTCCTGCAGCGTGAAGGCAAAGCACTTCCGGTGCTTGTGTAGCAGCTCCTGCATTGCCTCCCTGCCTTCCTCACTCATCGCCTCCCCCACTGTCCACTGCGGTCTCTCTTCCTCCCTGCAAGTCCACGCTCCTTGTGGTACTGCTGCTGCCTCCCCTTCCTCTGCTTCATGCCCCCATCTCAAGACCGTCTCCCTCCACATCCTTTGAACTAGCCACCTCATCATATACCCATCCATGGCGTTCCCCAGCGCCCTCCTCCTCTCCTCCTCACTCACCCCTGGGGCTGCTGTCACATTCTCCCCGTACCCCATGGCCAACTCTCTTTCTAGCGCCGTAGGTTCCTCCCACCGCCCCTGCCTGTGATCATATACCAGTCCTGGCCCCGGCTTTCCCCCATCCCACTTGTAGCCGGCTGCGCCCACATACGATACCAAGGTGGGCAGGGCTCTCCTCTCTCGTCCCACCTGGTTGCACGGGTAGTGCTTGCTGTATCCCCTCTGGCGCACTGGTGCAGGAGTCCGCCCTGGTTCCAAAATGTCCTGCACCCTTCTGCCCGCCGCTCTCCTTACCTCCTCCACCTCTTCTTGCAATTTCAGCACCGGGACGACGTTCTGCCAATACATCCTGAGCCGATGTGCATAAGACCCCGCCCTAGCTGCGTCACAGCTGATCCCCTTCCCCAACTGTTTGCTGATTCTCTCCCTGACCAGCCGAATCGGCTCGCGGCAGTCTCCTTCCAGGTCCAGGTTCTCTAGCAGGTACGCCACCCTTCCCTGCCTTTCTTGCAGCCATTCCAAGATGCGGAACAGACTCTCCATCAGCTTCGTTCTCGGGTCTTCCCCTCCTTTCCCCTTTCCAGCCCACGACACCCCTTGACATTCCCATCCCGCCACCAATAGATCTACTTGCCCCCAGCTGGCCACATGCGCCTCTGTCACCTGGCTCACGTCATGGAGGGTGCTGCTCATGGCATCCCGAATCACCTCTGCGCTCAGGAGCTCTGGGAACTCGGCCTGCAACTTCCATGCGTGATGTTCCGCCATCCTCCTCACCTCTGGCGCTCGTTCTACATATATCCACTGCTGCACCGCTATCCCATTCTGCACCACCGCCGCCAGCCCTGCTCCAATTCCCCCGAACAGCTCCACCAAGCGAATTGGCTGCTGCCAGTCGCTCTGCTTCCCCGGGGCATCCATCAGCTTCATCCTGGGCCCCTCCCTGATCTCCTCTGCCCCCACCTGTCCCCCCGTCTGCCGCCTTCCCACTGCCTCCCTTGCACTGGCCTGATATGCCCTCTTCGGCTCCACCCTAACGAATTGCACCGGCAGTTGCCCCAAGGGCCCCTCCTTCTTCCAATACCTCGTACGAAACTCCACCTTCTCTGTCCAGGTGCAAATGCTCATGCCCACCGCAAACACCATCTCTGTCCCTACCAACACATCAAAGTCTTCGGACTCTGAAATTCCGCACTTCATCCTGATCCGGGTTTCATGCTCCCCTCCTGGCAATAGGGTCAGCTCTATGGGTGTCCGTGTGCATGGCATCCACTTCGGCTCCCCCCCTTCTGCTGTCATCACCAACATGCCCTTTGCCACTTGCCTCTCTGGGGCCATCAGTCCTAGCCGTTTTGCCATTCCCTTGCCCAACATCACACTCTGTGCCCCTGTGTTAATGATGGCCGTCTTCACCTTCTTCCCCCCTACCTCCATAGCTCCTGCCCCCACCAGTAGTACCGAAGTCTGACATGCCAGTCTCTCCTGTGAGTGGCGGGCAGGGGGTTTCTCCTGCGCCACGGGGTCGGGCTTGTGTCCGCGTTCCCGTTCCTTCCTGCCGTGTTCCTGCCTGGCATCCCATCCCCCGCTCCGCAGCCCCATCTCTTCTCTCCCCCTCCATGCCATCAGAGCACACTGAGCATCCGGCTCCACCTCCTCCCCTTCGTCATCCCTGGCGTACATCCCTGCCTCGGCCTCCCACCTCGGCCCCATGGCTTGCAGCTGAGACTGTAACCTGCTGATCTGCCTTTGCAGCTCCTCTGGATTCCTCCTCACTCCCCCTTCCTTCTGATAGCAGTCCTTGGCATCATGCCCCTTCTTCCCACAGATCTCGCACCTGGCTGCATCTGGACATTCTCTCTTTCGGTGCCCTGATTTCCCGCAGCCATCACAAACCTTGCAGTCCCTGCGGAGGTGCCCCACCTGCCCGCAGCGGTGGCAAGTGCGGGTATCTGCCCGCATTTCCCCTCGCGGGTCTACCCTCCCCTTCTCCTCAGGTATCATGGCTGCCGCCCAGGTTGGCCTGCGGCTTCTCTCTGTCGGCTTCGGGAGGTAGGCTTCATACTTCCGCTGCGCCAGCTCTACCTTCTCAGCCAACTCGAACACCTCCTCCAGAGCCGCCTCTACCCCTAACTCATATACCCTCATCCTCAGCCCCCCCCCCAGTGCCTCGTCCAAGCCTCCCAAGAACTTGCTAATGAGCAGGCTGTTGTCTTCACACTTCACGTCCTCTGCCACATTGATCAACCTGTTGTAGTAGGTCAGCAGTGACTCCGCCCGTCCCCTCCGGAACTCTTGGAACTCCCTTATCCGCTCCGCCGTATGCCCTGGGAACTGCCGCTGTAGCCACCCCATAAACGCCTCGGTGGGGTCCTCCCCATACTTCCCTGCCCTCCATAGCAATTCCTCCATCCGCATGCGGTACAGCGTCTCTGCCTCTCCCTCTAACGTGTTGGGTAAGCTCAGGAAAAAGTCAACGGGGTCTACATTGTGCCTATCGCAGCGATACCGCAGATTCCCCACTTGCATCAAGTAGTTTTTGAGGGTCGGCCCCGCGCGTTGGTCTCCTGAGAACCTGGCGGGCACCTCCACTCGAGGCGCGCCAGCAGCACCCCCCCGCCCCTCTCCCCACGATTCGCTATATCCACCCGGCCGACTGCTCCCCGCCCTTCTCGCCCTTGCCTTTAACATGCCCTCTCTGGCCTCACGTGCCCGCTCCGCGCCGTACACCAGGCTCCCACTCTCTGGCCGACTCCACTCCGCCGCGCGAGGCCTTTCTTTTGGCCCTCCCCACTCCTCTGCCCGAGCCCATTGCTGTGTTGGCGGGCCATGCATCCTCCGCCCCTCTCCTCTGCTCGTCTCGCGGTGCCTCCGTCTTTCTGGCGACGGTGACCAGGCCTCCCCGCGTCCGCTGCGCTGTTGGCGGTGCTCAGGCGAGTGCCACTCTCCTTCCTCCTTGCCCCTTCTCTGGCGACGCCCCTCTGGCGAACGGGACCCGCTGTTGTCCCTCCTCCCTCTCTGCCTTGGCCGCTCCTGCCCGCGTATCGCGCTGCCGCGCTCCACTGGCTGGCTCCCGCGCTGCTCCTGCGACCACTGCTCCGCCCGGCCTCTCCTCCCTGGGCGCCCGTATGTCTCTGGAGAGCGCGGCTCATCCTCCCACCGATTCCCGCGCGCCTGCTGCCGCTCCAGCGAGTGCCCGCCGCCGCCACTCCAATCTCCCTGCTCTCCTCGTCGGTCGTGCGCCCGGGAATCCCCCCCACGCCCATCTCCGCGCCGCGGCTCTCCTTCTGGCGCGTGGAACCGCTCCGCCCTTTCTCCGCCACGCTGCCTTTGTCTCCGCGTCTCGCGCTCCCTCTCATCCTGGGCCATTCGCTCCTGCTGAAGCGCGTCTTCGGCGTGCTGCTCTTCCCCGCGGCTGGCGCCTCGGCCGTGAGATCCCTCCGCCTGGCTCGCGCCAGCGTTCTCGTCCACCTGTGCGTGTTCGGCGTGCTCGGCGTATTCGGCGTGCTCGTCGAAGTCCGCGGCCTGGTCTTCGTCGCCATCTCCCTCCTCGGCGCCTTCATCCTGCAGCCTCTGGCCCTCCTCGTCCGCCTGTGCGTCTAGTGCTCCGTCCACCTCTGGCGCCGTGCCTTTCGGTGCGCCCTCCGCGTGGCCGTCGCCGCGCGCATGTCCTTCTCGTTCCCGGGGAAATTCCCCGAAGCCCTGCCAACGGCCGCGTTCGTCGCGTCGCCGTCCTCGCCCCTCTGGGGAGCGGAACCTCCCTTCCTCGCGGCGGGATCCGCCGCCTCCGTCGATTCCGCGGGATCGCTCTCGCAGCCACGCGTCTCTCTCTCCGCCTCCGCCACGGCCCGCATTGCCTGCTCCCTCGCCCGTCGCTGCTTCTTCCCGACGGTCACTGGCTAAGGGAACTCGATCTGCGCGGAAGGCTGGCCTCCGTGGCGATCTCTCTACCGATCGCCCTCGCTCGCGTGACGGCTCGCTTCGCGGCCGTTCTTCCTCGCGACGGCTAAACATCCTACCCCAACGCAGCTCGTACTTATCCATACTTGCGCCGGTTCAGCCCGTAGGCTTGTTATGAAAGAGTTCAATCCCTCACCCCGTAGGTTCCTCTCTTAGTGACGTGCCACGGTGTGCTAGAGCTTAGATGACAATCTTCACTACTTCGAGAGAATAACAAGCCTACGGCAAGGAAGGGGTGGGTGTGAGGGACCTTACCCAGCCCCAAGCTGCACATTTCCCAAATGTGCGGCTCGGGATTGGTGTTCCCTGATTTCACAATTCGCCCTTCCGTCCCTTTTCCCCCGTGATTCCAACCGCTTCTATTCGGTTCCCCCCTTCTACACTCCTCTACAACCGTCATATCGCTACATTCTACACCCCTATGCTAGTATCATTGTATAAGCTTTCCTACACATATAGTCCTTATCTCAGCATCATAACTACACCTGCATTCTACTGTTATAACATATGCACTGACTGGTTGGACCAACTCGCCTATTGGCCCAATGGTTTGGTTGGACCAACTGGCCTGTTGGTCCGCTGGCAGTTGGTCCGCTGGTCCGGTTGGACCAACTTGCCCGTTGGTCCGCTGGACCTGTTGGACCAACTGGCTTGTTGGTCCAATGGACCGGTTGGACCAAATGGCCTGTTGGTCCAAGGGACCGACTGGACCAACTGGCATGTTGGTCTAGTGGACCGGATGGACCAACTGGCCTGCTGGTCCAATGGACTAGTTGGACCAACTGGCCTGTTGGTCCAATGGATCGACTGGACCAACTAGCCTGTTGGTCCAATGGACAGGTTGGACCAACTGGCATGTTGGTCCACTGGACCGATTGGACCAACTGGCCTGTTTGTCCACTTGACCGGATGGACCGACTGGCCAGCTCGTCCACTGGACCGGTTGGACCAACTGGCCTATTGGTCTAATTGACCGAATGGACCAACTCGCCTGTTGGTCCAATGGACCGTTTCGACCAACTGGCCTTTTGGTCCAATGGACCGGATGGACCAACTGGCTTGTTGGTCCAAGGGACCGACTAGACCAACTGGCCTGTTGGTCCAATGGAAGTTGGTCCATGGGACCAGTTTGACCAACTAGCCTGTTGGTCAACTGGACCGGATGGACCAACAGGCCACTTGGTCCAACCGGTCCCTTAGACCAACAGGCCAGTTGGTCTATCCGGTCCAGCGGACCAACAGGCCAGTTGGTCCAACCGGTCCATTAGACCAACAGGCCTATTGGTCCATCCTATCCCTTGCACCAACATGCCAGTTGGTCCAACTGGTCCGTTTGACCAACAGGCCAGTTGGTCCAACCGGTCCATTGGACCAACATGCCAGTTGGTCCATCCAGTCCAGCGGACCAAAATGCTAGTTGGTCCAACCGGTCTATTGGACCAACAGGCCAGTTGGTTTAAACGGTCCATTGGACCAACAGGCCAGTACGTCCAACCGGTCGAGCGGACCAACAGACCAGTTGGTCCATCCGGTCCAGCGGACCAACAGGCCAGTTGGTCCAACCGGTCCATTGGACCAAAAGGCCTGTTGGTCCATCCGGTCCAGCGTTTCAACAGACGTGTTGGTCCATCCGGTCCCTTGGACAAACAGGCCAGTTGGTCCAGCCAGTCCATTGGACCAACAGGCCAGTTGGTCCAACCTGTCCAGTGGACCAACAAGCCAGTTGGTCCAACCGGTCCAGCCAATCAAAAGGCCAGTTGGTCCAACTGGTCCATTGGACCAACTGACCCGTTGGTCCAACCGGTGCCTTAGACCAACAGGCAAATTGGTCGAACCGGTCGATTAGACCAACAGGCCAATTGGTCCAACCGGTCCATTGGACCGATAGGCCAGTTGGTCCAACCAGTCCAGCGGACCAATAGGACAGTTGGTCCAACTGGTTTATTGGACCAACAGGCCAGTTGGTCCAACTGGTCCAACATGTCAATAGGCCAGTTGGTCAAACCGGTCCATCGGACCAACAGGCAAGTTGGTCCAACCGGTCCATTGGACCAACAGGCCAGTTGGTCCAACCGGTCCATTGGACCAACAGGCTTGTTGGATTAATCGGACCAGCGGACCAAAAGGCCAGTTGGTCCAACCGGTCCATTTGACCAACTGGCCAGTTGGTCCAACCGGTGCTTTGGACCAACAGGCCAGTTGGTCCAACCGGTCCATTGGACCAACAAGCGAGTAGGTTCATTGGACCAACAAGCGAGTTGGTTCATTGGACCAACAGGCGAGTTTGTCCAACCGGTCCATTGGACCGACAGGCCAACTGGTCCAACTGGTCCAGCGGACCAACAGGCCTGTTGGTCCAACCAAACCATTGGACCAACAGGCCAGTTGGTCCAACCGGTCCATTGGACCAATAGGCCAGTTGGTCCAACCGGTCCAGCGGACCAACAGGCGAGTTGGTCCAACTGGTACATTGCACCAACAGGTCAGTTTGTCCATCCGGTCTATTGGACCAACAGGCCAGTTGGTCCAACCGGTCCATTGAACCAACAGGCCTGTTGGTCCAACCGGTCCATTGGCCAAACAGGCCACTTGGTCCATCCGGTCCATTGGACTAACAGCCCAGTTGGTCCAACCGGTCCATTGGACCAACAGACCAGTTGGTCCAACCGATCCAGCGTGCCAATAGGCCAGTTGGTCCAACTGGACCATCGGACCAACAGGAAAGTTGGTCAAACCGGTCCATTGGACCAACAGGCCTGTTGGTCCATCCGGTATAGCGGACCAACAGGCCACTTGGTCCAACCGGTCTCTTGGACCAAACAGGCCAGTTGGTCCATCCGGTCTAGCGGACCAACAGGCCAGTTGGTCCAATCGGTCCATTGGACCAACAGGCCTGTTGGTCCATCCGGTCCAGCGTACCAACAGACCTGTTGGTCCATCCGGTCCATTGGACCAACAGGCCAGTTGGTCCAACCGGTCCAGCGGACCAAAAGGCCAGTTGGTCCAACTGGTCCATTGGACCAACTGACCAGTTGGTCCAACCAATGCCTTCGACCAACATGCCAATTGGTCCAACCAGTCCATTCCACCAACAGGCCAGTTGGTCCAACCAGTCCGTTGGACCAACAGGTCAGTTGGTCCAACCGGTCAAGCGGGCCAATAGGCCAGTTGGTCCAACCGGTCCATCGGACCAACAGGCCAGTTGGTCCAACCAGTCCATTGGACCAACAGGCCAGTTGGTCCCACCGGTCCATTGGACCAACAGGCCTGTTGGATTCATCGGTCGAGCGGACCAACAGGCCAGTTGGTCCATCCGGTCCATTGGACCAACAGGTCAGTTTGTCCAACCAGTCCACTGGACCAACAGGCCTGTTGGTCCATCCAGTCCAGCAGACCAACAGGCTAGTTGGTCCAACCGGTCCATTGGACCAACAGGCCTGTTGGTCCAATCCGTCCATTTGACCAAAATGCTAGTTGGTCCAACCGGTCCACTGGACCAACTGGCTAGTTGGTCCAACCGGTCCCTTGGACCAACAGGCCAGTTGGTCCAACCGGTCAATTGGACCAACAAGCCAGTTGGTCGAATCGGTCCAGCGGACCAAAAGGTCAGTTGGTCCATCCGGTCCATTGGACCAACATGCACAGTTGGTCCAACAAGTCCATTGAACCTACAGGCCTGTTGGTCCATCCGGTCTAGCGGAACAACAGGCCAGTTGGTCCAACCGGTCCATTGGACCAATAGGCCTGTTGGTCTATCCAGTCCCTTGCACCAACAGGCTAGTTGGTCCAACCGGTCCCTTTGACCAACTGGCCAGTTATTCCAATCGGTCCATTGGACCAACAGGCCAGTTGGTCCAACCGGTCGAGCGGACCAACAGGCTAGTTGGTCCATCCGGTCGAGCGGACCAACAGGCCAGTTGGTCCAACCGGTCCATTGGACCAACAGGCATGTTGGTCCATCCGGTCCAGCGTTGAAACAGGCATGTTGGTCCATCCAGTCCCTTAGACCAACAGGCCAGTTGGTCCAACCTGTCCAGTGGACCAACAGGCGAGTTGGTCCAACCAGTCCAGCGGACCAAAAGGCCAGTTGGTCCAACTGGTCCATTAGACCAATTGACCAGTTGGTCCAACCGGTGCCTTGGACCAACAGGCCAATTGGTCCAACCGGTCCATTGGACCAACAAGCCATTTGGTCCAACCAGTCCATTCGACTAATAGGCCTGATGGTCCAACTGGTCCATTGGACCAACAGGTCAGTTGGTCCAACCGGTCCCTAGGACCAACAGGCCAATTGGTCCAATTGGTCCAGCGGACCAACAGGTCAGTTGGTCCAACCGGTCCATTGGACCAACAGGCAACTTGGTCTAACCGGTCCATTGGACCAACAGGCCAGTTGGTCCAACCGGTGGAGCGGACCAACAGGCCAGTTGGTCCATTCGGTCCAGCGGACCAACATGCCAGTTGGTCCAACAGGTCCATTGGACCAACAGGCCTGTTGGTCCATCCAGTCCAGCGTTTCAACAGACCTGTTGATCCATCCGGTCCCTTTGACCAACAGGCTAGTTGGTCCAACCGGTCCATTGGACCAACAGGCCAGTTGGTCCAACCTGTCCAGCGTTTCAACGGACCTGTTGATCCATTCG